ATAAATGATTCGAACCATATAAATGTGGTTCGAAACAAAATTGTATTTTTTGAATTTTGATTTTACGTAAACTATTCAAATCATAATTATATGATTCGAATTAAAGTTATACATTCTCAAATGCATTCTGTGCAATTGCTTGGAACCAATTTTTTGTGATTTGAACTCAAATCTTGGAACTATTTTAAAAATTCAACATTTCATACCTAGTGATCATTTACTGCATATGCAGCTTCTTCTTCTTCTTCTTTTTTTTTTTTGCATAAGAGAAGTGGAAAGGAAGAAGAAATAAAGTTCAGGATATATATAAAACAACAAGAAGGAAATAGCATCTGCGATTGCGTTTGACGCCTCCCCTAAAGATAAACCGCGTAAAGTCTTATTAATTAGTAGCTAGTGAAATTCCTGTCACAGCTTCTTCACGCCTTATGTCATACTTTCTTTTTAAAAGTAATTTGATACCATTCTCCCTCGTCCCTTCTACAATCAATAATCATTCATACCGTTTTGATTAAATAAATAAATATATATATATATTTATTTATTCATGTTGTATGACTCAAATCTAAATTCTTAATTTATTCTCAACAAAGGATTGATATTATTTTCTAGTTAAATTAATATAGTTTTTTTTTTAATTTTATGTTGTACAAAGGTAGACAATCCCTTTTTTATTACTTAATTGATATATATATCACTCTCATGTCATATAACTTAAACATAAAATTCCTTATTTTTATTATATTTTATTTTGTATTAAAAAATTATTATTTATTTACTTTAAGCCGTTGGAGGCATGAATATAATCTGTATCAAAAAGTGTATATTAGTTTGTATTGTAAAAATTAAGGTAAAACATACTCCAAAACTAAGTTATTTTAATAAAGTTTTATTGAAAAAACTAAACATCCTAACTTTTAAAGTAAGAATGTGACTATTTTAGTTTTTTTCTTGTGATTTTTAATTAAAATATATAATTTTGAATTGTTTTGCTACCTAATTTTTGAAGATTCGATTGATAAACATTAATAAATATGAAAAGGTTCATAATAGCTTTGACTTAAAAAAAATTAGAATTCTAAACCTTCAATGACGTTGTTTTATTTAATTAAAATCCAATTCAAAATTTAAAAATGTACTTTTCAAATGTTGAAACTTGCATTTAGAAACTGATTATATATTTTAACATAATTGAATTTCAAATCCATATATAAATATTCAATAAGGTGTATTTCTAAATTTTGAATTATATTTTAATTAAATAAATCGATATTGTTTAAGGTTGTGATTCTAGTTTGGTTAAAGTTAGGATTGATATACATTTTCCTCATATAAATGAACTATCTTTATATATGAGAATGGTATATATCAGTTTCAACTTCAAAAAATAAAATACAACTTCAAAAACACCATTCTTTAATGAATATTTTTAAAAATTAGTTGCTAGATTTAGTATTCTATTTATGTAGATCATGTATGTCAAATTTTAGATTGATTGAATATATATAGGTAATTTATTGATTATAGAAAATTTATCGCCATTAAATATATATTAGAAAATACGAATTTCTTAATTAAATGATTATATATGTTAGATCAACTTGAAATTAAATTGACATGCATGAACATATCAATGGAATATTAAATGTAATAGTTAGTTTTTGAAAATATTCATTAAAGGGTAGTGTTTTTGAAATTAAAACTCCAATTTTTTTTTTATGAGAATTGGGACTAAAATACATTTTTCTCATATATATATATATATTAATTTATATATGAGAAAAGTGTTTTGCAGTTTATCCTCTCAAATTTTTTTAGAAAACTTGTTTAAAAGCTGATTTTTTAATTAATATTTTAAAAAATCAACTGTTAAATTAAAAATTTAATTAATATAAATCATACATGTCAATTTTAAGATTGTTCTTGTAGGGCTACCACTTTGTTGATTATACAAAATTTAACACCATTATATATGTCAATAAATATAGTTTCTTTGATGGAAAATGATGTGTGCACAC